CATACTTAGTGAATCTATCCACTATGACCATTACTTGCGTCTTCCCATTTCTGCTTTTTACCTTAGTGTCCATGAAATCTATAGAGACAGAGTCTCCAGGGCCGGTAGGGATAGGCAAGGGCTTAAGTAGCCCGAGGGGCGATTGCGTGGTGCTTTTATTTCGTTGGCACACTTGGCAACCCTGCACATACGCGATACAATCCACTTTCATTCGAGGCCAGGTGGTCCCATAGGTCTTCTTCCACCCAAAATGGCCTTCTGTATCATGGCATTCCCCCAAGATCATACTCTTGATCTCCTCATTATTCGGTATACACAGCCTATCATACATGTTAGTTCGTTCAAACAATAGACCCTGAGTTACTTTATGATCGGAAAACTCTGCTGGCTTTTCTTGCACTAGCTTAATCATGGTTCCATAAATAGGATCAGAGGGATACACATTTCTAATCTTTTCTTGTAGGTCTGCACCTACATCTAGATAAGTCACAATAGCACCGAAAAAGTCTGATCTACGACTTAGTACATCAGCAACAACGTTATATTTACCCTTTACTGGCTTCAATTCAAAATCAAACATATCAATTTCCGCAGCCCACCTTGTCAACTTAGGTGTCATTTGAGCTTGCGTTTTGAGCCAGCGAAGTGTTTCATGRTCAGAGTATACTTTAAAATGCCTTCCTAGAAGGTAGTGTCGCCAATGATTGAGAGCCTCACGCAAAGCATACAACTCTCGTTCATACGTTGAAGCGGCCACCTTCTCGTTAGATAAGCGGCAAGACATAAACTCTACAGGTCTGTACCCATGCCCATCATCTTGCTGGAGTACAGCACCTATACCATATTGATTAGCGTCAGTCGTGACCACAAAAGGCAATGAAGGGTCTGCCACTTTCAAAACCGGATAATTGATCAAACACCTCTTCAGACGCTTGAAAGACATAGTGCAGTCTGAATCCCACTTCCAAATTACTTCTTTCTTAAGTAACCGACGAAGGGGAGCAGCTATTATCGTAAAGTGTTTTACGAACTTTCGATAGTAGTTGGCTAACCCAAGAAACGACCGCAACTCAGTCAAGGTGCGGGGGTTCGGCCAATCTCTGATTGCTGCTATCTTGGCATCTTCCGGTTTGACCCCATCTCCATCAATCACATGTCCTAGGTACGCTCCAAAAAGAAAAGACCGAGGGAGAATGTTGAGGAGGAAGAACTTGAGGAGACAGAAGACGTGGTGGTGGAAGAGACAGACAAGGACAAAGAAGGCGCGAGGAAGGAAGTGTGTTAGGTGAAATGCGTTTTTCTCTCTCCTGCTTTCCCTCTCTCCTTCTTGCGCGTGTGCAATAGTGTTGAGATCTTAAAAGAAATGGAGCGATCTTGATAACAAATGGCGCGTTTACGTCCACCGGATAAAGGAAAGAAGTATTTCTTATGTCGGACGTTACGAAGGAAGGGCGGCCGGTCGAGGGAGGAAGGGGGAGGTACGGAGTATGACGGAGGGAGGAATGGAAGTAGGAGGTCAGGTGTTGATCAGGCTGCGGAAGGAAGGGGAGGGAGGAATTGAGGGAAGGAGGAGGTCAGACAAAGATCAGGCGAACGAAGGGGGCGAGCGAAGGGGAATGAGGCGGCCAGGCGGACAGAGGCCAGAGGGAGGTTGAAGAGAAGGTGCGGAGGAGGCCTGTAGGGAGGGGAAAGGCGGTAGAGAGTAGGGCGGAAGCAGGAGGTCAGGTAGAGACCGGGCCAAGATCGTTGGCAGTCCATCTCGATGGACTTTATCGGTCCTCTTCGTCCTCCGACCCCCCGCGGTCATGATGCTATCTTGGTCGTCGTTGACCTCTTCACGAAGCGTGCACGCTTTGTTCCGTGCCGCTATGCCATCACTGCACGTGAGGTCGCCGACATCGTGTTTGACCGAGTCGTGCGTGACCACGGCTTACCTCTAAGCATCATATATGACCGTGACCCGCGCTTTACCAGCCGATTCTGGCGACGACTCCACGAGGTTTACGACACCCAGATCCGCTTCTCCTCGTCTTACCATCCCCAGACTGATGGTCAGACCAAGGTCACGAACAGGACTCTCGGAGATATTCTCGAAATATTGTTCGTGACGACCAGCAGTGGGATCTCCATCTTGCCCACGCAGAGATAGCCTACAACCACGCCGTCTCGCCAGCCACGGGGATGTTGCCTTACTATTGCGACCTCGGCTATCACCCTCGTGTTCCCGCGGATTTCCTTCGACTGTCACGGATGCACCCCGACACGAGTTGTCCCGCGTTGGATGATTGGGTTGCACACATGACGTCAATCACGAAGACCGCGCACGAGCACATAGCCGCTTCCCAGACTCGCATGGCAGCACGTGTGAACCGATCGAGGATGGATCATCCATTCAAAGTCGATGATGATGTGCTTATCAACGCCCGCCACTTACAGCTCGAAGCGGACACGCTTCGCAAGTTTCGGCGTCGCTTCTTTGGCCCATGCCGCATTCTCCAGGCCGTCGGTTCTGGTACAGCTTCTAGCCCGGTCAGCTTCCGTGTCAAGCTGCCCGACTACCTACGCCAGGCTCGTATGCACGATGTCTACCACGTCTCGTTATTGCATCCCTATCGCAGACCGTCTCAGCGTTTCGTTGGACGACCATACGAGCGCCCTTCACCCATCATGGTGGACGGCCACGAGGAGTTCCTCATTTCAGACATCATTGGTCGCCGAGTCACCGACGGCAACCCTCCTCACGTCGAGTATCTCGTACGTTGGAAGGGTTACCCTGATGAGGAGGCTACTTGGGAGCCCCTCAAGCGCTTGCAGCACGCTCGCATGTTGGTGCGTGCCTATGACCGTGCTCGTCGTACTGGGTCGACCGCTCCTCCTCAGCCCACTGACCCTCCTCCTTCTCCCTCGGCTGAGGAGACCGCTGAAGTCGAGCCTGCTCCATCTGAGGCAGACCTTCAGCAGCAGCCGGATGCTTCTGAGCATCCACAACGCACTCGTCGCCGTCCTGCTCGATACGACGATTGACACTGACTTATCTTCCCACGTCCTTGACTTCTCAGTACTCCATCCACTCAAGTTTTGCCACTTTAGCTCGTCGACGTTGCGGCTCTTCCTCGACGGCATTCCGGACTTCTCATCATGGACATCATCGGCAGCTTCATGGACTTCGTCACGATCAGCTCTGCCTACTTTAGACATCGTCACTCTCTTACCACCTTACCCTGTACAGTACCCTGGTTGTGTCGCATGATGGTCTCCCTTCGTCGGGTTCCTCTGAGTTGGGCTCTCCCTTGGTATACGCATAGGCATCGGGACTGTAGCGTTGCCTTGGCTTCCCAGCTTACGGATCCAGCTCCGACTTCCCCCACCTTAGGAGTCATTTGCATGATTCCCTTACCCATCATTTTTTTACCCTCTACCGGCCCTCACGCCCTAGTTAGGCAGCCTCGCATGCTTCATCTAGGTGCGCCCAGTATACCAGGCTCCCTTTTTCCCTTGCATGGTCGACCCTCCATAGCAGTCACCCCTTTAGTCGAGCATTACACGCCCTGATGGTCTATCTGTTAGGGTCATTGGTTTTGTTCGCTCCCAATTCCCTACCCTCATTGAGCCTGATGACATGTGTCTCCCCGTCATTTTGTGTGGATGCCCTTAGGAGTTATCGACCCCTAGGCTGCATTCGCCACCCTCAAAGACCATCCCACCCTTTGGTTCTCGACACACTTCTCCTCTGACATTCTACTATGATTCTAGGATTTAGTTGTTTCTGCTTTTGTTGTTCTTAGGACTTATACACTATTTAGTTGTTTTGAGACTGAGGCTACCGCCTCCAACATTCTAGGGTTTAGTTGTCATTACTTTCTGCTTTCCTAGGACATGTATGCTAGTGAGTTGCTTCTGCTTTCACTTAGGCTGTTAGCTGTGACATTGCTGTTTTGTGACATTTTTTATCATAGGCTGCATCGCATGGACTCAGCATGGAGCTTGCTCCGCATCCTAGACTGCTCAGGTTTTCTTTTTCTTTGGTAGAGTTCCGCTTCTTGGCGGAAGCGTGCTTGTATCTAGGCGATCCATCACAGGCTGAGGATCGTGTAGCGGACCTTTAGTTGGCCTGTGAGACCAGCCCCTTGGCCTGTTCTCACAGGCCTGTGTTGTATTCGGGGCAGTCCAGTCCAGGCAAACCTCTGTCCGTACCAGCCAGTCCAGTCCAGTCCCGTCAGTCTGCTGGGGTATACCCCAGTTGTTATCTGTTTTCCGATTCATTCTACATTCACACACTCTGGAGTGTGTGCGTTGGAGTCTGGCGTGGGAGCTGCGTTGTGCCATCTAGCTCCCCCTTCTTCCTCCATCTCCATCTCTATCGCAGGCGGAGCACCACACCTGGTGGGTCCGCCACATCTGCATAGTCGTGGGCTATAGGTCTTCACTTTTGGTCAAGTCCCAAAACAGGGGTCAAAAGTCACGCCGTAAGTCTGAGAAAAGCCTGGGGAAGCCTAAGGTCAAGGGGTACCCAGGGTAGGGCCAAAAACAACATCCATAAGCCCTACGACAGTTGACTCATGGAATGTCAACGACCAACCCCAACACGGGATTCCAGGCCCAAAGTCAAAGTCAACCCGGTGGTCAGCCACGACCGTCAATCAGATGCACATCATTGGTTGTCTGCAGGTATCCAGAACCAGTCCAAGTGGGACAGTTGGAAATCGAAAATTGTGCTGCATCCAGGCCATTGGCTTCCGATTCATCTCGGCTGTCGACCCAAGGAGACCAGAGGCTGGTCAACGTGAGTCAGCACTATAAACTTGACCCAACCCTGCGTGGAGATTATTCTGCCTTGCGCTGGCTTGATGATTATGTTGGCGCCAGTGCTGCTGGGTGGGTGTTAACATCAAGGGAGATTCTGCTGGAGCGGCCATTGCCGCCATAGTTGTAGACATAGAGGTCGATTATCGGCGGGGAGGGGGAGGATCGAGGCTGTGAGACTGGAGAGGGGCCTGAGGGGAAGCTTACTTTGACTTACCTGGCGACGTCGTGTGTGATCTGCTACTTGTGTCCACGAAGGTGAGGAAGACCTGCGCCATCCTCCCTGATTGGTTGCTGATGTGAATGGAGGAAGGGCGCTCTGTTGTAACCTGCACTGTATCTGTCAGAGAACGTTAGAGGGTAGAGACTACATTGCTGAGGTGGCAGCAGGGGGAGATAATGCCCGAGGAGGAAATGGGCTAGAAGAGGCTTCATGCATGAGTAACGGGGACTCTTCTTTTTCTCCTCCTCTCTGTCTATTCTCCCCTCTACCTCGAGAGATGGTTAATGGAGCGCCCAAAATTCGGGGTTTTTCACCGCATCACCACAAGCGATGTCATTGAAATTTTGCAAACAGACAATCAATGCAAACA